ATAACAAGTATATCTTTCAATAAACCATATTTTCCGTTGGTAAAGCGAAAACTGGCGCAGTCATTGATGAGGACGAAGATCGGTTGCAAAACAGTAAAACGGTTACTGTCACGGTTCGATTTTAATAACCGTTGTCACTTTATGGATAGTGTGTTCTATTCAAATGAATATAGCTTCGCTGGAGTGAGTTGACTGACCAGATCGAACAGACGTGGCCTCGCTTCCGTGATGTAGACTCAATCGGAGAGGAAGAGCTATCTGAAGCCAGAGTGGCCGAAGATGGTGGTTTGATGTGAGGTGGCGAAGGAATTATAGGTTGAGATGGAGTAGGTTCTTTGGCAGATTTTGCTTGTTTCGCCTTTTTGTACTGAGCATGTCTGCGCGAAGGCGAATTAAATCATTTTTTTCGTCATCATCATCTTCGACCCAAATTGACGGGTTTCTCTTTATGCTTTCAGTTTTAGCTCCTATTTGAGACACGAAATCGAAATGATGGATTTCACAATACGCCTGGCTTTCGTTGATTTCTAATTCTCCGGTGATTATTAATTTCGACACCTTTTTTGCCGATGAACTTTTGCCCGTAAGTCTTGATATGATCGTATGATGAGAAACATTGGTTTCGAACCATTTCAGGCATCTTTTCCAACAAATTGTTTAGATGCTATGTTAAGGTTCCAATAATCCTCTTATACTTGCGGCTGATCTTTTAAGTACCCAAGTAGATAATGTAAGTGGAATTCTGTGGTATCATAATGTGTGTTTCTGAAGATCGTATTATAGTAAATTAGTCATATGTAAATTTATACCAATGATGTAACAAACTTTACTCTCCTTACATATGTCGTCTTTCGTGATGTTTGTTATCGAACCGAACACTCTTATTATATTGTCTTTGGGTTTGTATACGGGTGCCTGCACAGAGTAATTAATAGTTTTATATGCGTGCAAAGTGTAACGCTGCTTCAGCTCAAAGCTTAGCCAATTAGATGTAGTTGCAAGACCAGTTGCTCGACAGTTCGATGCACTTGTCGCAAAGCTGCAGTCATTTGTAACTTAAACTACCACCCTCATAATCGACAGTGCAGTAATTATTACGTGTAATTATTATTGTATCATGAAGTAAGATACAAACAATATAATATGAAGACGTAATACAAGTAGTAATTCCACAAGTTACTTGCGATCATTTATTCTTATGCCGAAATTTACAGACGTTAAATAACGTATATTATAACAAAACTCCAGTTGTTTATATGCAAGTAGGGTTGATCAATAAAATACTTTTATAATGTTGTTACCTGATTGTCTTTACTATTCCAATCTGAGTCCATTCCGAATGGACATAAATTCCAACTGACATACAATGAGAGTGGATATTTATGGTAAAAGCATTACTAACGTGCATCGCAAGATAAACAAGGGAATGTAATGCGTAAGCACATGGTATAACGCACGAGAAACGGACATATCAATAAAAAGGATAAAGGGACCCTTTATATTTACCCCTATATAAAATCAAATAAAACAATTCTCATGGGTCATTTTTTATTTACAAGAAAAGAGCTATCTATCGTATGATTAATCAGACAATGATCTTATAAATCGCAATCAACGTTCCTATAATTACAGATACAAAGTCTTTCCATGCGAAAAAAATAGCGATATTATTTCTCACATTTCGACTATTGGGAAACCTGCAATCGAACAGAATTATCAGAAACATGAAATGCAATGTAAGCAATCGAAGAATATTCAAATAGAACGCACCATAAACTCTTCGACATCAGTGATATGCTTTGCATTTCCATTCGCGTCCCACCAGCATGCAACCACACCAATTTTTGTAAAGTTGATATCGTGCCAGAAATGCACAACTCGAAGGCCCTTTTTGAGTTCACTATCACCCGACCAATAAGGATTCTCGGTTACGTCGTCTTCACACGTAAAATGAACGATCCAAGCCTCCTCTGCCGAGAGTTCATTTGCATAAATTAGAACCCGTGAAAAATGTTCGTCGAGCTCGTTCTGTTTCGCTGTTGCTAACAACTCAAGAATAACCGTTGGATATCCAGGCGAATCAATAACTATATCACTATATTTGTGTTGATTGTGTCCATTATTACGACGAACTATATGCCATTGTCCCGTAATTTTAAAGCCGATAAGCCAATTTGACAAGATTCGGTACAGCTCTGCTTCTTTAGGGACACTTCAATTTTTAAGATTATTCACATTCACATATGCCTTCTTGAATGAATGCATGCATGCCAATTTTATGTTCTCTCTGTCAAATGTGCAGATAGTTTGTTTTAAGATTTGGTTCCCCTGAATCAGAATGGTAAGGTACTTCAACTTTTGGGGAGGAGGGAAACACTTTAGGAATTACTTGTTGAAGGACTAGCCAGCGCACTAAGGGCAAGGAAATCTTGAAGGTGCTAAGGTTTTTTCCAGGAACTAGGACTCCTTCAGCTGTGAGGAATAAAGCTAAATACTTTTGGTTGTCAGCAACAGATACATGGTTGATATTTGCCAGGAAATCTGATCGGAAGAGTTTCATAGCATGCTTAGAATCATCCCTCAGAAGGGCATTCTTCATCCTCATAAATGTTGAATACTCTATAACTTCATTCCCCAGTGAAATGTTGTCATGTGTCATGGTTTAAGTGTGTTCCACCTACTAGTTTTTTCATAAGGTTCCTATAAATGGCACACCTGCATAGACAAACAAGACCAGCATGGCTGTTAAAAAAAAGTATCATGGAATAATGAGTCTCAGTAAAAAGAAAAATACTTCATGGAAATCTAGTCGCATACCCATTTGTCTGCATATATATGTCCTCAATAATTTCTGGGTCAATGGTTATACATTCTTCTTTCATAAATTCTTTGTATAATGTTTGTACTTGTTTTCGAGTAAAATTTGGGTTTTGAAAGGGTGCCTTGACATTGAAAGGTGATGTAGTCAACTCTTTCGAATTTAGAAATAAAATACTAAATGAACCAATGGCAACAACAGAAAAGACAGCAAAGGAGTTTTTGTCGTTTTTGATACCACGAATGATTTTCAGACATGAGGAGAGAACAACATCCGTTGCAGTGTACATCTCATCAAACTCATTGAAGAGGAGAATAACATTGTGCTCCCACTGATTGCGCTGAAATGCTTTGAGAAAACCCTGTGCAGAATCGATTTCTAAAATGGAAATGCTGTTCCCATGAGCATTGCAAAAGAGAGCCATACCAAGTGTCTGCCAGAAGGTGTCTATACCCCCCTTGACCTCAACATGCTCAAAAGATGCACTATTCCATAAACAAGAGCACAATCATGGTCAGCTTGCAAGCCCATATGTACTTATTATTTGAACAAGGCCCATACTTACTAAATGCAAACAAATCCTTCGTTTTGCAACTGGTCCTGAACTGCAAGCACCCATGTAGACTTTCCTGAGGCTTGTGGCCCATATAGTGCTACAAATTCACCCTGACGAATTAACTCAAGAAGTGGGCCATTCCGTTCTGTTGGGTCTGCATAATAGACTATAGAGTGCTCTTCTCATGTAATTGCACTATTTACTGTCCACTTCCGTTTCTTTGGTGCTGCAAATGTAACTTAAGAAAAAAACAAAGAGTTAGTAAACAAGGTATTATTGAGTAATATTAATATAGAGCAAACATAAGCTTATGTTCTCCCTCTGCCTTTCGTTTCCCCCGTTCTAATATCAGCAAGGCACAAGTTAATAAATGAACAAGACATAATCAGCAAAATGGAATGGGGAGAAAAAAATCACAGGAAATCAGTATTCATTAGGTATTACAAAACATTATTCCAAATGTCCCTTAAACAAGTATCCTCTGTGATAAACATTTTGAACTGTCAACCATCCCTTTACCAATTTTTGATTGCAAATCAACAGTTGATTGCATTATTCACTCACTAATTACCTTGCTCTTTGTGTTCCTCTTCTGGCACTATAACTATAACTTGAAGTGGGTTTTTGTCAGTATTTTGGAAACTCAAATCCACTTTAGTACCTGGTTCTAGGTCAGCCTCATCACCATGTTTGCAGAGGGTAATCTGGTCAAGGGCAGTTTCATTTAACCTGGGTGATAGTCTCTTCTTGACCACCTCCTTCAAATCTTCCACTTCTCCTCCATCAAATACAACCCTGGATGGTTGTGCACTGCCATATTTCACTCAGATTTTGAAAGGGAGTGACAAGGTGCTTATGTCACACTCATTGAGATCTATTTTTTTTTTTTGCAGATGACATTGAGTATGAGGGGGGCTTCAATAGAAAAATAATATTAATAAGTCACTTGCCACCAGTTAATCCTGGTTGCAAAACAGGTTTAGCACCCCTAGTAGCACTTCTCGTTCTTGGGTATGTAGATTTTTTTGACATCATTTAGGAAGTACAGAGCACAGTTGAGCTGGTGTGATCATACATTCTAAAAATTTTTATCCACAGCCATCAAAATTTCACAGGCCATGTGTCTGTCTGTTATATTCTGACCAACAAAAAACTTTGCATTCAGGGAGTTTGCACTAATAAATCACGTGATAACACATGAAATACGAAATACAGTAAAACCTCCATAAATGCAACCTCCATAAGTGCAATCCCTCTCTAAATGCAACATTTTGCTCAGTCTCAAGCTTGGGACTTAGTGAATAAATGCAACCCTCTTCTGCAATGCAACGGATTTGCGAGTCCCGTTCTAGTAGATTTATTTCTCTAAGTGCAATTCATGTGATTCACGTAATGATCAACACAATGTAGCTGTAGCACAGATTTGTTACAATATCAAACATCACTATTCAGCATTATTACAGATTGAGTTGAGTTTTATGTGAAGAATTGCTATTTTCTTTTTTCAGTGTTTGACTTCATCCTGTTTACAATA